TTATGTCAAAATATATCTTTAGTGGTGCATATTAGCATATTGACCAGTTGGTGATGCAGCTTCAAAGGCATGATAAACACGGTCATATTCACACCTTTTATCTTGTGTATTTCACATTGTGGGTCCATGAGCAACTTGCTCACCAACCAACAGCAGCTGACAATGATCGACATGCAGTCGGTACTTGTGTGGACCGGTCCTGCACTTGAATCATAACAAAGCAATGCTGGATATTTCTATGGACGTGCTTCAGTGCATTGGCAACCACCACATGAGACACGCAGCAGCCTCAAGGAAGAACTGAGGTAATGGGTATTTCACCAGAGCAGCTCTCTGAATCCCACACAGACGAGCTCGGATGACATTCCTACATCTCTTCCCTCCCGTTAGAGCGCAACGTTCAACTCCATGTTGTCCAACAAAAGAAACCTCAGCTAGAAGATATTACGCATCAGTCAGTAATGTGTCTTTAATTTAATTTAAACCAAACCCGGTCTCACTCCCAGCCTGTCAAACACCGCTGCTTGGTTGGTGGTCCTCGCCGTCTGATACCGACACACCGAGGCATCCTTTATTGTCTGTATGAGATGTACCAGGCTTTCAGCTAACGCCACTATTAACCCATTCATGGAATTATTAGAAAGTCAGGTTAACTGATGTAGAATAAAGAGCGAGTACATTAGTCTTGTTGCATAACTTCCGTACTTCACAAATGCCAGTTACTTAACAAACAGAGAGAGAGAGAAATATACTGATTTTAACCTAAACTACAATATTTTCCTAAGCCTAACCAAGTACTTTTGTTAACTAAAAACTATGTAAGCCTACATTGGAAGTTTATTTTGAAAAGACACAATGTGTGTAACGTGTGAACTGTACATTTCCTGTGAACACGGAAGTTTATTCTGAAAAGACACGGACACACCGTCCCTGACACGTCCAAAACTGACACTTGAGGGGCATCTAGAGCGCCATAGTACCCTTATTTGACGAGTTGGGGGTGAGAACGAGTTATTCTCACAAAAACGATGAAATGTATTCAGAAAATAAAAGTCAGTGGTTTGTGGAAATGCACAACTTTAACTAAAAACAGGACATTGCAGTTATTTCTGACAAAATAAACTCAAGGTCCACTTACTACTTTTCGTGGTCTCATGGTCTTCATCAGCGGATGGCGTTTGCGGGGTTTGTTTAGTGTTTTCTACAGTTTCTTTACAGACTACATCTTCTGAGAACAAAGAGGTCAAGGTGAGACCTTTTCTTCAGAAAGTGGTGCCTGTTTGATAGATAAGGGAGCGGAGGATGTGTCCAATGATCTGGCAAAAATGGCAAGAATAGTGTCCGTTTTCACACTAACATAAATCAGGTGAGATTTACATTTACCGCCTTTAAACAAACAGAAAACCAACATGGAGGGAATCCACTCATGTCTACTGTTGTTCTACCACAGCAGTGTCTTCAGCTGCAGCTCCTACACGCAGCGATTTCAGCAGCTGTGAGTCATTAGTTAGTACTTAGAGCGTAATCGGGCAGAACAGTCGGCGGTTATGAGACACAGTAGGCTGACCTTACTACCACCAGAGTGTTAGCACGGTGTAGTGATGGAGAGGTGGGCTCATTCCCTCATCAATGACTTTATTTTGTCCCCCTGTGACCTGATGAGAGAACTACATTGACCAACCACAGCGTCATATGCTTTCATCTCTGAAAAGTTTGCCGCCACCGCACAAATTTTGTTCCCAGTTCATCCCACACACACATGACATTGCCGTGTGTGTGTGTGTCTGTACGTTTTCTCCATCTGGTTATGATTTGTCAACTTATACTGTAGGGGGGGGGGGCTTTCAGCCACTGTGAACGCTACTAAACCAACCTCGTATAACTTCACCATTTATTATAAATGGTTGTTAAAGTCCGGAGGAAACCAAAATGAGCAGTTATCCGTCCGTCTCGGTTTTACGGGTGTTTTTTTGTTTTTGCTAAGCATTCAAGGAAAGATGCAGTTTGCTGTTTTTGTGTGACTGCAAACATTTGTTTCTGGTAAACAAAGCTTCCAGCTTTGTGCTGGTATAGATGTAAAAATGTGGGCATTGGGTGCCCACTAATTACACTTCCACGACATCACTGTTAAAAGTGAGCTGTGATTAACGAGACAGTCCAACATCAAACATCAGCAAACAGTGTAGATGACAAGCAGACATCAGACAGTCCGGGGATCCTTCATTCTATTTCATTATTTATTGAAGTGATTTGTTTAGAATGTACAGTAATGGGACAGATATAGACATTGACACGTTCATACACACACAAAAACAACTCTCTTTTAGATGCTTTAGAAACAAGAGGTCTTAAAATCTTCCTTTCAGTAAATATTTTGCAGCCAAATCAAATTGTTCGATATTCAACCGTTGTTTCTTTAAAATGCATTTAATACTTGACTCGTTTCTTCACAGGGCTTGAACAAAGACAATAAAGTAATCCATGAATATGAGATATGAGTTAACAATAATCACAATCCCTCCTCATCATTGTGGAGGTGGATTTATCGCGTTTTGCCGGTTACACCTACAGTCTATGTGCATGTCTCTGAGTTCCATTCGTTATCATTTTGATTCTTCACAGTTCATTTTGTTTGTACGCCCTCTGGTGTTTTGGAGAACATGCAACAAACAGCGCGTTCAGCATAAATGCCTCTGTGTAAGCTCGGAGCTCGCGCACCGTCCAGAGGCTCACGCTGTCACGGATTGCACCAGTTCTTAGTTTCTTTTGATCTGGATCTGCTTTTGTCACTAACTCTCCTGACATTTCAGGTCCTGCCACTCAGACCATGCAACCAACTCGTCCCCAGATCCAGATCAAAAGAAACTAAGAAGTGGTGCAATCCGTGACATACACTCAAATTAGCCCTGCAGCGATTTTTAGCACATATGATCTTAGAGAAGGCACAGCGAGCCGTGTAGCATTTATCTGATCCCTAATCAGTTGGATGGTCTGTGTGGGTGATGGAGGGATGTGAGCAAGAATCCTGCGAAGGCGATAAAACGTTTGTCTGTCGATCATGAATCTGATTCACTCATGAGTCGGTGTGAATGGATAGCTGTTAGCTAGCTCGCTGTTATTGACAACTGTTGTGAGTAAACTGCTGAAATGATTTCTCGGTGTGTCAACACCACCCTCTGGACCGCAGTACAGCTGAGCCTGATCTGCATGTAGTCCAGGGGAAACCAGGACCGGCCTGAAGACTTGTGGTCCAATGGAGACGCATTAGATGTTTGAAGATGTTCAGTCTGACCAGTAGAGAATGAGAAATGCTAGTTTCATTCAATTAAATGTTATTTTTGTAGCACTTCCTATGACGCCCATGTCTACAATACATTAAAAACATATTATAATGCGTTATGATCTACTTACAATAATGCAGGATTTTAGTTATAAGCACTAGAATTTCATAATTCATTTCACATTATAAAGCATTTTATAATGACTTGGTCAGGTATCATAATACGTTATAATTGCTGGTTATAATGCATTATAATTGTTTTAATGGCTATAATCATTATAGCCATTATAATGCATTGTAAAGTGATTATAACTCAACTCTAATTGTGTGCTTTAAGAAATAACAATTTGACCTCTACAATATATTGCATTACAACAGGGATTATGCAGCATTATGAGGAGATTATAATGTAACTATGGCACATTAGACCACTGGACCCAATGAGGCCCAGTATAGTGTGAATGAATGACCCAATGAAAGCCCATTATCTCATGTGGTGGTCCACATCACTCTATGCAGCGGCTAACCAGAGGAGGATGATTGGTGTGGTTTTCAGTGGAAAATGATGGTTTTTACCTCCTAACATGAGTCCAGCTCTGCAGCAACACTGAATACTTACTGTGGAAAGCTGTCAGAGATTTTAGCCACAACAACGTCGTCAGTTATTAGATTCAGTGCAGACATATTGGTATTGTTGGCTTTCTCTCATATCAGTCGGTTTTACTGAGAGCTTGTTTTGGAGACCTGTCTCAGCTGTTTGAGGGTCGGTATTGATTTGCTTGTTCAACAATTGGACACTTTCCTGGAAACCGGTGTCCAACATCTGTTTATATATCTATTTGTTTATCTGTCTGCCATTCACATATGCTGTATATGTATATACTTTTTCAAAAAAGCACACTACATCAAACTCTGCATACATGGGTGAAGCCGAGGGTGAGTTTCCAGTCTGGTATTTAGTAACCGTTACAGAGTAATTAAGACAAATTGTAGGAAAGTCTGTGACTCAGCAGATGTTTTCCAGGTTATTTTTGACACGTGTGATATGCTCTGTGGTTTCTCCTCCGGTCCTCGGTTAAAAAATGCCAGAAATCAGACACCCCTTCAGCTTCAATGACAAGTTTGTAGCTCCTAAAAGACATTCCTTAGCATATCCAAGCACCAAAAATATCCAAGTTAGTATCCAAAACCTAAGAAATAAAAGATGTCTTACAGAAGAAAATACAGTAAAATCCTTGCTATGTTCATTTATAAGTTACTGATCAATAATATGTGTTGTAGCTTATTTTTTATGCCAGATTCTAATGTCGGTCAGTCGTCCAACAGGAATCCAACTGTGTCTTAAAAACACCTGTCCATATTGTCAAGAAATCTAGCATGGACAATCCAGTCCCTTTAGTTCTGGGGTGTCCAAACTACGGCCCCCAGGCCAACTGCGGCCCAGTGCCTGCTTCTATAAAGTTAGTTGTAGCTCCACCATCAGGTAAAAAATGTCTCCATGGCCAACATTTTCATTTCTGAGATGGTGTCTAAAAAACCAATGGCCACATTTCCATCATATTGTCTTTGTCTTTACAACCAAAATGAGCACATTGTTTGTTCCAAAGGAGCCGCATATTCTTTCATTGAAGATGAATGGGTGCTTGTCCTCAGAACTTCATTCCATCAGTAAGCCAGTGTCAGTGCTGACTGGTTCCCTGTCTTGTGCCGTCTCCTCCAGGGATCTACCTGTTGGACATGATCTACATCGACTCAGCCTATCCTGCCTCGGACAGTATCATAGAGACGGAGCAGCGGACCAATCAGATGAACAACCTTCTGAGGCTCATCTCCGACCTGCAGATGTCATGCAACTATGGTAGGAAACAACACACGGTGTCTACATCATCCAGTAGAAACGCTACATTACCTGCTGAAAAATATAACGCGTGATGTGAGCTGACTGACTGACTGTTCTGTAACTTCAAGTATTTTCATTGTTTCTGCCTTTTGTAATGATGATGGTTAAATACAATACTACAATTTCAATTTTGGTTCTCCAGATGAAAGGCTTTAGGCCCCCAGCCTTAAGTAGACTAATGCAGGAGGATTGTCCTGTCAACAGTGTAACTTAGGTTGCCCATAGATTCATGACCTACAGCTTTATCAGCATTTGGGTCTTTCTCTCTTTTTTTGTACTTGCTGACATTTTCTTTCACTATCAAAGTGATGAGTCCTGTATTTAATGTTAGCGGACAATCAGAGCTATCCTCACCGAGTCAACGTCTGTACACCGATTCTTATTGCGTTTCATATTTTGTATCATTTATGTGTTTTCCTTGAGCCACAATGATGAAGGAAATCCAGCACACACTCCATCTGTGGACCGTCAGATCGAGTGACTTCTTCCAACCTTTTTTTCCTTCAGATTACTTGGTGACGCTGCCACATGTCCAGAAGTATCTGTTGTCAGTTCGCTACATCGAGGAGCTCCAGAAGTTTGTAGAGGACGACAACTTCAAGTGAGTTTAATCTTGTTTTAACGGCGACGTCCAAACCCCCCAGAGGATGAACCCTCTATTGTGGACACTTTCTTGTCGCCCTCTAATGGCCAGATTACAAAGAGATATACTGAAAACTCTGACCACCTCGGTCACAACACAAGCTTTTCCCCAGCACATGGTTCATGGAAGTGGGCGTGAAATTGACGGGGGTCAATGCACGGGAAGCAGGGCTGGAAAAGGTCAGGCAGCTGGTTTCGTCTGTCTCCACAGGGAGCTCGTTCGTCCAGCAGCTGCTGATGACTTTCTCAGGCAGCGTCTCACATCCTCTGCTCAGGAATAGGTTTGTCTGTCTGCCACACCGGCTCGTGGCCGTTTTTATTTGGCACCTGTTGTCGGGGGTGGGACGTCATTTCGGGGCTTTGGTTATACCTGGTTTATTTCATTTCTTACCCTTTTCAGACTATAGTTTCACATGGGATATAAAATATGCTCAAATGACACATCAGGCTTATTGATGAGTTATAGTTAAGAGATTATCTTTTGGATAATAAATGTATTTCAGACCCTTAATCAGTTTGTGCACTCAGGTTTTACTGATATAACCTCACTCTGACTAATATGACTATTAGTTTATGGTGGCTAGTGCTGACTTTAGGACTCTTCAACTGATACCTCTGACACTATGTTGAATACGAAGAAGGGGAACGCCCTAATTAGTGAATACATAATATGATCCACTACTTGTATTACCTACAGAGACAAGAGGAAGCTAAAGTAAAGCTAGCCAATATATGTAGTGTATACATACAGTATGTGTCAAAGCAGGTATAACCATATAGAAGTGGACGTAGTCATCGTGATGTCACTCATTGGTTTGTGGACTGGCTTTTCGAAGCCTCAAGTTTGGCGCTTTCGCCGTCGCCATCATGGATTACGGCCGTCGGCCATGTTGGGTTTTTTGCAACTAATGAATGGAAGTTACCATATTTGGAATGTTGGAGGAGTGACGTAGAGACGCCTTATACGTCTCTTGTTGCAGCAGCAACCTGTCAATCACAGTAAGCCCACCCTAAAGCATACCCTGCTTTATGGTCCATTTGACTCTAAATGGACCATAAGCGACAGCTATATGGGCCATTCTACCGAATTGGTTCAAAGTCAGGTTGGAAATATTTTAAAATTGTGTGTTTTATTCCCAAAACTTTGTCCGTATATATATTGTACCATATCTAAAGTACACATATCTAGTAAAAGAACCGTCAATTTTTATATTGTATTTTCAGACTGTTAGAATGTTTTTCCTCTCCCAAAAATTGTCACTACCGAAACATAGTAATACACTATAGTAAAAAAGTATTATTATTAACCTGTTAAGATTGTTTCCTTCCCTTCTCTGAAGGGAAGGAAACAATATTTTTACAAATATTTCTTGAAGGTTTTCACAATTAAATCAATAAAAATGAGATTTGTACCAAATTTCTAAGTTCAATTTATACAATTCATCAAAATCTAAATGCAATATTTCTTTGTAAAATGCATAATACTGATCATATTGATTCCAGAGTTGATGATTGATACAATTAAACATACATTAAACCAATCAGTATCATAACATTTTAGTTGATAACTCAATATACTTTATTTTTTACAAAACATCCAGTGTTGCGGTAGTGACTGCGCTGTTTCGGTTGTGACCACAGTATTTTGTTTGCAAGGTTGTATCATATTTCCTCAACCTTATTGCTTAATCTTAACTCATAACATGCCTTAGGTTGGGAATATTACAAACACAAATGTTTTGTGGTCAATAGAATAATTTTATTTTTGAAGACATAACAGTTGTTCATCCAGAACCATTTAAAGTACAAACATTACTTATCAATGGAAAATTACCCAAGTGGGTTCAGTAAAAGAGAACAAGAAAACATTGACAAATAACTGATATTATGTTGTACTGTATGTTTAAGCGGGTTCAGTGTCAGACACCATCACAAATCCATTCACAAATTTAGTTTTTCACATACTGCGGTGAACACTCTTGGGCTGATCTGGACAGCCCAAGAGTGTCCAGATCAGCCCAACGTCATGTGACGTTTTCTGGTGGAGGGATTAAGGTGACGACCTTGTCCACTGTGTACCAGATCTTGTCCTCTAGTCGCGGTCAATAAAAGCGGTTTCGCCCAATGTTGTGCATGACTTTGACCTCAAGGGCAGACAGATAACGGGTAAAATAAAAGGACATTGGGCGAGATATGATAAGTATTGCTTGTATTAGAATCTTATAAGACTATGAAATAAAGTTTGATTCAAAGGGAATGGGAATATGAGAACGGAAGATTGCCAAGTGAGAATGAATGGAAAGAGAGACTTTACCATATGTTTCGGTAGTGACTGTTTCGGTAGTGACAATTCTAGGTAACTTTGAGCATAACTAAAGAATGCTAGCAAGCGGATGGCTAGCATACACGTATTTGAAGAGGTGTACACACATAAAAACATAATACTTTGCATTAAACCCCAAAAAGTTTACTGAATTGAAGAGAATATGTGTTCGGTAGTGACAATTCTTAAGGTTACACGCCGATTTTCAGAATTTGGAACACATTTATATCAAAAGTATGGGATTTAGCTACTTATCATTCATCCATGAGGGACAGGGATGCAGTGTCACTGCCTGGTCAAAAATGCAGGGGTGTGGCTAAAAACCAGGCTCAGCCAATGGACTAAAACTCTTGTGTTTCGGTAGCGACATGAAAACTGGGGACATGATTTTTTGGGTATAGTTTTTTAATTTTAAAATTAAACCCAAAATAAATCAAAATCTTACAACTTCTGTTTAAACTTAATCATAAAGATCTTTGAAATTACACCGTTGAACAAAATCTAAAAATTGTTTTAAGTGTTATTTACAGAAATTGAAATTTAGATGTCAGGGTTGGGGACAGCTACTTCCCAATAGAAAGTACCCTATAAATGATGATTTTGTATATATTTAGCTTATCACTATCTAATTGAATGCCTTGGGTTTAAATAGACCACAACACATTCTTAGTAAATATCTATGTCTGAATACTTAATTGTTTTGTTAAATAGTTTTTCTTGTTGGGGGACCACACTTTGAATGAATTCGGTAGACTGGCCCATATATCAGGAACGCCTGGAGCAAAAAAACGTCCACTTGGACTCAAAGGATGAACGGATTAGATTTTAGTGGTCAAAGGTCCAGCCCGCTGTGACCTTACGTTTTCACATGTTCGTGCCTGGATATTTTAGGAATGTCTGGAGGAGATTACGTCTGCACAAACATCCTTTAAGAATGAACTGATTAGAATTTGGTTGTCAAAAGCCAAGGTCACTGTGACTTCACAAGAAACTTTTTTGGCCATAACTCGAGAATTCACATTCTAATTATGACAATTTCACACAAATGTATAATATGATAAAATATGATAACCTTTTGGGCAGACATGGATTCATACTGCAACATGACTGGTTGGCGAAGGCAAACAACCCACGAGGCGGTAGATCCTAGTTTTACCCATAATGACGTGGACCTTCATTTTATTGTAATGTTGTGCATTTATGTACCATCCACTAAGTGGCTCTGTAATGGATGCGACTTTGAATGTAGCAAAGTAAAATATTTATAATAAGTACTTAAATAAAAGAAAAATAACTGATTTTTAAAAGTTCTCAAAAGAGTACACAAAGAACACCTTTGTTACAGTAACGAGAGTCAATGTCATTTCTTACTTTCATCCAATTTTAAGAACATTTCGGAAACATTTTCCTGATGCAAAGTCTGTTTATCCACCTCGTGTGAGACAAAGTCGCCTTGTAGTCTAAAATGTGCAAGTGGTGAAAGACAAACAGCCCATGATGAGCCTTTCAGTGGGCATCTTTAACCCACACACACTGACATCAGGCCGACAGGAAACACACTTTCCACACTTGAGCGTTTGAATTTGAGTTGAAATGTGTGAGGGGCTTTTCTGTGTGTGTAGGCGAGTCCACAGAGGCGTCAGCTCTGTCACTCAATAAAGTGTTAAATCAAGAGTCAGCTGGCTACATCGACATGATGGAAGCACCAGTGAAAAGCAGTAAAGGACGAGGTGTTGCATTGGTTCCCTTTGTTAGACATGATGAAGTGGAACGATTGGCCTACATCAAGGAGATCAAAACCCTGATAAGATACAACTATAACTCACAACCATAATGGGATTTACATTCGCTTGTATTCTTATCAATGTTAGTTGTTAATGCATAAGGATCTAAACAGCTGAGATTAGCACTGATGCTATTGATTCAAACAGTTCAGCTGTGTGCTGTGCTTTGGAGAGATCACATTAAAGCAGGAATTCTCAGGCAACTTTGGAAGTTCTAAGCAGTATTTTTCAGGATTTCTAAGCAGATTTATGGGAGATAACATAATAAAAGTGTAAGTCTGAAAGTGCAATTCTTACTCAATCTTGAGAGTTATGACTGTTACGGGATTTTGCTATGCGCTATGGTGAGATGCTCACAGAGCATTGGAGTTGTGACGAGAGGGAAAACGGATGAAGCCGGGCTGATTGCGTGATGTAATGTGGCCATTACACATGACGGGCTGCGTTTGAAGTCCCTTCTGTCTTTCTTTGGAAGCAGCTCTTTAAACAGACATTGATAAACACACAACCAAACCCACTCTTACTAATTAATGACTATTTTACCCGCTACTTCCTTCCCCCCGTGGTCTTTCAATAAATACTTTCCATATGCGGTGATGAGCTGCAAAGTCCCATTTACCAATTCCATAAGCAAAGGGAGCATGGGCAGACAGGAAGAGAGACTTTTCCAAACTCCCAGAATGCAGTTGGCATTCTGGTGACACCAGCTCTGGTGATCAGACTTTAACTGTTTTCTGGCTGAATGTACATTGACAAAATTCTCTCAACTCCTCTTTTCAGAAGAAAAAAATAACCGTATTGACAGTGAGATGCAGTCACAAGATAGATTATATATATATTATGAATAAATATATATATCATTTCCCCGAGAGGCATCACCCTTTGAAAAGAGAAAATGATGAATGAATGAATTGATTAATATAGTCTCATAAAATATACTATCAATTTGACACATTTAATTAGTATAGTATGTGACAGAATGGATCCTAATTCAAATAGATACATTATTTTTAGTGCTGGGCAAGTTAACGCGTTATTATCGCGTTAACGCATTAATTAATTAACACCGACAATTATTTTATAGCGCGTTAACTCATTTTTTAATTTTTTTTTATTTTGAAAGTCCGTTGCTCACTGGCAGCCGTGGAGGAAGTCTTCAGACTACGTTGATGCAGCGTGTGGGAGAAGTATAGATAAACGCAAGCAAGACAAGCTAACAGATGCTACAGAGAAGTGGAGACAAACTGCAGCCGGTTAGTATTGGTCTGAGGAACGTTCTTAGGATCGCAACGAATGAGCTAAGAAAGTAAGCGGAAAGATTAACGTGAGACAACATCCGTTTTCTTCAGACGAACATCCGGTTTTCAGAATAAGATGCCAACAAAGTATGAATTATATTCACATTAAGTATAAAACATGCTACCTGCATCTCGTGAGTTAAAGGGAAAATACACCTAAATTGTGCGTAAAGTGTCTTTATTGTTTGATCGCTGGGTAACCATCATCACCTCTGAGTTACAGCATTATATTGATGAACAGTAGAGCTGCATTCACATGCTCTGACTCATGAAGACAGACATTTTTGCTGAAACATGCTGAAGCATTGTATTCATGTTGCACAGCAGTGGAACGTTTCACATACAGTCGGCACAGATGGTGAAGAGATAGAACTGCTACTGTGTAAAGAGAATACTGCTGTTAAAAAGAACCTTATTTGTTTTAATAAGTGTTTGCAAACCGAATGTTATTGCCCTTTTGTTCATATAGCAGTACTTTTAAAATAAAAGTGTACAATACACTACTTTTGAATTCATTATTGAACTTTGCCATAACAATGCGATTAATCGCAAAAAATCCATGCGATTAATCGCCATTAAAAATTGTAATCGTTGCCCAGCACTAATTATTTTATCATTCACACAATATTTTCAGGCTGTAGCTTCAGTTCTCAGATTTCTACTCATGTGTTCAGGGACAGTATTGCGTGTAGGCCACCAGTGTTTTGGCAGCACTCAGAGCCCAATACACAATCACTGTGGTTCCGTGGATTAAAAAAAACTGAATAAATAGACTTGAAGTTAAAAACTATGCTTTGGATTATTGTTATGCGTGTACAGTGTGAGTCTGTTCAACTGTATAATGTAATTTATTATGCAATTCCAGGCAAAATTAATTTCAGCCTAAAACTGGCAGCTGGACTGGCTTGACTGACTTGAAATAAGGATGTAACCGCTGAATCCTGTCTTTCAAATACAACCCCGACACAGACTCCCTTCATAGCTGTATATCTTATAGGTCCAAATGACTGAGCTGTGTGTTCCCTTTTCTTAACCCACCTTTCACATCAGCAGATGATGAGACAGCGGGAAACCTCAATGCCCAGTAAGACGTACTGTAGGCTGGTTCTGATCTGGCTTTAATCATCTGGGGTAAATAAATAACGCCATGGTAAAAAGCTCTGGAATTGGCTTTGTGAAATGTTCAGATAAACTGTTCGCGGTTCAAAGACAAAGTTTATGCTCGTACTTCTGCATCATTTACCGACTGATTAACTCTGTAATGAAACTGCTGGAGTTGATGTCACAGCAGTGAGCGCGTGATGTATTTCTGTCTCGACACTCGTGAGCAGCAGTGATGTGGTGTGTATGATGGAACCCGTTTGTGTTGCAGGCTGTCTCTGAAGATTGAACCTGGAAACAGTTCCCCTCGCATCGCTTCTTCTAAAGAAGACCTGGCAGGTAAGACACACTCGTGGTAGAGCTACACCGATGGGAAGGTCCTCCAGTGGTTTATCTTTTATTGAATATCAGGTATTTATTTCAATTACTTATTTAGTTTTTTTTTTCATTAGGATCACTAAATTACATAAATTTACATGTGAGAACCAGAAAATATTTCAGGACCCCATTACACCAATATCACAATCATTGAAAAAGCAGGAACAGTTCATCTTATGTAGCTTCACTTGATTACAAATATAATTATTACACATGAACTGTAGCATATAACAGAAGATTGAACGTTTCATTTGGTAGAGGAGGCAAACAAACCACAGTTTGCATTATCGAATTGCATTATCTCCTATCTCAACCAGCTTGTCATGGAGTGGGTGGGAGGCGTTCATGCTCTTTTCCGTCACTGTCAGCAGAGAATCCAACTCCTCCTCCATTCACTGAGCTGGTCTTTAAACTAGCTCGTGGTGATGCTAGAACATCTACAGCAGCCTGTTGCAGATGTTGTAGGTGACCTCTGTTTCCAGCATGTTCCAGCCTGTCGTCCAGGTGCACCGCGTGGTACTTACAGACAGATAGATAGATATCCTTTCATACTTTATTAATCCTGCGAGGATTAATAAAAATATGAAAAAATATTAAATATGAAAAAAATGCAAATATGTCTCTATTCAGATGTAGATGCTATGATCTCCCGTATCTAGTATAACACCTCTGGATTCTGCCCCTGGATGGATGCAGGGGTCAGAGGAGGCTTGGTCCTGTGGAACTTCAGCAGCAGCTCGTTCGGTTTGCACCCTACAGTGTATTCCTTCTCCTGTTCCCACTGATGCACCCAACTCTGGCAGAGTCATCAGAGAACTTTGTTTCAGCTGCAGTGAGAGGTATACTTGAAGAGGGAGAGGACGGCCCGCTCATCAAAGCTCCAGAAAATCCGTCTTTTTGAGCGAAGTTTTGTTTTCAATTCATTATTGCGTTTCACATTTTCGTGAATGTGTCCTTCCCAACATCATTTTAAGTCAACTCAGAAGCTTTTGGTAGCAGTTTGCTAGGACCAGTTAATGTTTGCGGTGTTGAAGAAATATGTCGATATAAAAGAACACATAAGTTAGATATTTTTGGAAATGCTTATTTGCTTTCTTGCCAAGGAATATATGACAATATACCCTCTCATGTTATCCATCTCATGTCTGTACACTGAATGTGAAGCTACAGTATTCAGGCGATTATCTTAGCTTAGCTTAGCAGAGAGACTGAAAAGCAGGGGGAAACAGCTATCCTGCCTCTGTCCAAAGGTTAGAATATTCACCTCCCAGCACCTCTAACGCTCACTAATTAACATGTTAAATCTCATTCGTTTAACTTTTAAAAATGCCAAGTTCCTTTTTTAAAGGATAGTTACATTTTGTTACCAGCCACAATGACTCCCCTAGAGTGTCTGCCTGATTGCTTGTCAACCTCATAGTGATGATAAGATGCTAGGATGTTACAGTGCCTGACCAAGAAATAGACCAACGTAATCCCCTGTAAGACTGCCACTGTGTTTTTAATTGATTAATCAAACTAGTGGGCTAATGCACAGGAGATTTTAGCTTTTGCTACAAGAGATTTTAGATTCAGATCCACTCATCTCCTACATAGGAGATCAACGTTGCCCCCAAAACAAACAAAAAACTGCCTCTCAGGGCTTTCGTATGTTCCTTAATTTACAGATGCATAAAGTCGCGTGTCATCAGCATAGTGATGAAAGTTTGGATTATGTATTATTGGGCATGTGGCAAGAATCCTGTAAATACCAACTAGAATAAGGACCTAGAACAGAACCGTGGGGTACTCCACAGTTCAGAGGGACAGTAGATTATGTGAAGTTCCCAAGAGTAACAGTTAAGTATCTGGAGATAAAGCACTTGAGAGCAGTGTCCAACATCCCAACCAATGTCTCTATTCAGATGATGCTCTGATCTCCCGTATCTATCCCTTTATGAGCATAAACAAGAGAAGCTGTTTGATTAATGACATGCATGTAGTGCAGTGTTTAGACCACAGCAGAATGGTAAATGGTCACCCATAGCTTTCTGCAGGTTGAGTTAGTCACAGCAGGTTTCCATATTGACACTTGATTGATTATATTTTGATTGGATTGGAAAAGAAAACAGCAGAGAATGAGCTGGCTGTCCTGAGTGCACTAACAAACAATGTGTCAGTGTGATTTCCATCATGTCCTCCATCCTGCCTCACCTCTCTGTGCTCTCTGAGGTCCTCATGGAGGTGAGCAGCTGCAGTTAACACGCTGAACGCTGCCTTTCTAAATGTGTGGACAGGCCAGTATGGTGTCAGATCAGTCTCAATATTAATGAATGCACACGGAAGGATGCACAAATTATTTTGTGATTTCTATATAAATGATTCTCTCCACAAAAATATATTTTTAATGCACACAAAAAAATGAGATTCACAAGTGTATTTCTGGTGCACACACACATGTCTTGTTCTAAATATATGTAGAAATAGAAATCCACAAATTTCTTTCTTTCTTTTTTTTTAATAAAAAGGACATTTTCTGTGGCCAATCAAATGTCTCCATGAGGGCATTCTCTTACGTCATGCTCGGGTAGGGAACAGGGTAGAAAGGGAAAAGAGCAAAGTAGTCGGACAGCTAACGTTAGCTTTGGTGTGGAATAGATTTATTTGTGGACATACAGTATATGAATCACAATCAAATGCATTTGTGAATCCCTCTGTGTGCATTTATTAATATTGAGACTGATCTGACCCCATAGTGCATGAACAGCTCCATGAGGACATGTTGCCGAGGGCCAGTCCACTTCCTTTATTTTCCTTTCTTGTGTTGAGCAGGGGTTAGGAGGGGTTCATCTGGACTGGGCTGCGGTGATGTAATGCAGTAAGAACAAGCCAAGAGCTGGATGTAGGTCAGAGTAATGAAGAGGGATGAACCCAGAGCTAAATCAACGTGTGTGAGCTGTGCTTTCATCTGCGTATATGTCAGTGAGGGCGTTTAGCCTGATCCAACGTTCAAGTGATGCCGAAGAAATTCACATCCAAACCCTTAGAAGCATTAGTTAACAGATGAGTCAAAACCATAACAATTTAAAAAGTTTCTTAATCATTTGAGTAATAATTTATGATAGTAATTTATCAATAAAAAATAAAAAACTGGGCTGCGTCCTACTTCTCCAGTTGGAAGAAGTTATTTTTCCCCTTTTTCAGTATTTTTTTGATTAATTACATTTTTTTTGGGAAGTCATTTGAATAATTTGATAATAAGAGTAAGTAGAGATGTCTTGAGATGATCTTAAGGATCAATCCATTTGAATGGATCGTATCGGATGAAAGCCGATCACATTTCAATCCTTACTTGACTCTACTGTGTTGTTGGTGTCGCAGCGCTCCTCTTCTGCATTTTGCTGCATATGCGAGTGGAAATTTACAGAAGTGCAATACATTCACAAAAGAAAAGAAAAAAACAATACACCTTATCTCGTAATTATGATTTACAAGAAAATGTCTCATAATTTATCTAGTTCGGTAACTTTGGAAAGCTGTTCACAGAATCGGACATCCCCGATCATTAAATATAAAGCGATACATTGTGAATACATAAACAATGCCTCTTTGCAACCCTTCTAAGGTCGACGACATAGACTGTGTGAATGTGAACAATTATTTGGACGCACTGGTGAGTGACTGAGTTTTGACATCCGTATTAGCAAAATACACATATTCATATTGATCTCTACTCTGTGAATGTCATTAACAAAGAGCAGTGTACAAACATCCAGGTAGCAGACTCTCACCACAGCCAGCGCAGACCGTCACTTCCACCTGTCGGCAGATCATATCAGCTGTTACTGATGAATCTTAATTCTGTGAGTAACTTGATGACAGAAGATAATAATGTCCATCGCAAATAAAAACCCATAAATCCTCAAAGTGATGTAATTGAATCAGGTAGCACCATCATGCCTCTGTCTTCTCAAACAGCCATGACTGATAACCGCCTTAACCTTTTCTCACAATTACAAGAAAACTCTCAACATAGAAACCACACAGAGCTCACTGAAACGTTGCAGGTGTTCAGAGACTGTAAGGTATCAAAGACCCTTTACAACCGGCATTAAAATGCATCTCCACGTCCAAAGCTGACACTAGAGGGGTACAGAGAGAGTCTTAGTCTGAAGCATTGGGCCACTGACCAAGCGTCGGTATTTGTTTTGTCTGCATACGTTAATGTTCTGCTCTGTCTGTGATTGTGATTACATTAGAATTCTGTTTTTATATGTAGTTTGATCATTAAAGATTCGTCAGCCCGACACACGGAGGAAACGCACACAGCCGAGGGAATGGATAGAAAAATAGTTTTGTTTTAGAAGTCCGACATGCTGTGGTTTCACAATACTATGTAACTAATAATCAGCTTTATTCTTTGATAAATTAACTCCTATAATAAACCAGGGTTTTCCTTGCTTGAGCTTGAAGTCATAGAATAAGTTAACGATGCAGCTAACAGCAGCAACATGTCAGCCGTTCCACAGCCGTGTCCTCAGGGAACAAACGCACTGATCCTTTTCCATAGACTCATGTCTCACAGGCCGGCCAGCCACATGCTGGGATTTGTTTGTAATCGTTAGGAGCTGCTATTCTTTCTTTCTCTCTCTCTCTCTCTCTCTCTCTCTCTCTCTCTCTCTCTCTCTCCCACTTATCATATGATTTCATATGATTACGTTTAAGACAATCTGGTGCTATTAATCTTTATAAAGTGACAGTGATAAGGTGCTTGTCACTGGACTGAAAGGTTTCAATTTCAGTGCCTGTTAATTACAAAAGAGTCTCTTTGTGCCAAGAGTGCACCGTGCATCAGCCGCTGTAATAAACAGCAGTGAGTCATTTAGGAAGGAACCATGTGTCTGAGCTATTACAGGGAAAGGTTTGGCCCCAGGGTGAACGTGTGGCTTCTGTCACCAAGACAAAAAAAAATACAATGTTAT